CGGCCCGGCCGCGCGCCCCGGCGCCAATTCAGCGTGGAGAAGCTGCCCGAGGCCTTCAGCGCACAGCACCCCGGCCTGTACGGCGGCGGCGCGAGCCGCGGGCCCCGGCACCTGAGCACCAACAGCAAAGCTGAGGTCACCGTGTGAGGCAGGGGCCTCCGCGGGCGGTGCCTGGAGCCCTGATGCTCCCCGGGCCAGCAGCGCTGGTCTCTGCCCAGACTGGACTGGAGGCCTTGGAGCCAGTGGTCCTGCCGTGGGGGCCACGCAGTTCTCCCTCCCCGTGTAAATAAACCCTAAGTGGTTTCTGCCCCAAGGGGCGCCGGTGGCAGCATTGTCATTGACGGGACAGACGGCAGCGCTGGCAGAGGGCACAGCATGGGCAGGAGCAGAGGCTCACTCCTGAGCGGGCGGGCAGGTGTGCCCGGGCCAGGGCCGAGTGCCAGGCTTAATGCTCACACGGGTGGGAGCCCTGGGAGGCGGGCAGTTACGCCTCAGCCACTTTCAGGTGCGGCGAGGGAGGGCTCTTGGGTGCCAGGCCATCTGGGAAAGGGACGACTAGAGCCTCTGGGAGAGGTGAGCGCCCAGCCGGTCACCCACTCTGCTTGCGGGCCTGGCCTGGCTGATTTCCCTGACACAGCCTGGCCCTGGGCCGGCCCCTGCTCCACAGGCTGCTCGGCCAGGTTGGCCCAGGGCCACCCCCCTAATGGGTGTGGACATCTTGTGCTCAAGAGGCGCCCCTCCCTCTCCCGGGAGCGGCTCTGGGGAGCGGGAGGGGAGGGAGCCTTGTGCACCCCGTCGGGGCTTGCACTCCACCTGCTCAGCATGGCAGCCCTCCCTTCTCCTGCCAGGGCTCCTGCCCTGGCTGTGGCCTGGATGGTGCCAGCAGCCTGTGTACCTCTTCCCGAAGTTCCTCCGTGCCAGGTGCTGACAGCGGAGAAGAATGACGACTGAGCTCCAACCAGTTGAGGTGTGTGACCTCAACCAAGTCACCCAGTGGGGCGTCTCTTGCTGTGTAGCCAGGGGTGATGCACTGTTTGAACAGCGGCTGTCATGCGCTGCTGATCCTCATGTAACCCTCACAAGAGCCCCAGGGGTGTCTTCGCAGTGAGTAGCTTGCCTAGGGTTACCCAGCTGGCTCTGGGGTCAGAGCCTCTGGTGACAGGGATGGAAAGGGCAGTGTAGGGCAGAGACGTGGTGGTGGGATGGGCAGCTGGTTCTAGGGTATGCATGGCCTCACACCTTCCAGGGCCTAGAAGCGCCAGGACAGACCCCAGAGCCCACGGTCCAGCCCCATGGAGGGCCTTCGTGGCTTGCAGGAGAGCTCATACTGTCGCCCCAGGGTGGGTGGGGGTCTGCCTGAGTCCCGCAGCTGTGAGGAGAGCGGGGGTAGGGTGTTGGTGCCAGGTAAGGGAGCTAACGGAGCGTGCAGAGACTCAGGAAGGAGTCCAGTTCCTGGGCGCACAGGTCACGCATCATGACGACACAGGCCCTGCCTGGGCCCCACCGCTCATCCTGAGGCCTAAGATCCCTGGATCTCTAGATGGCGGGGGCCAGGCGGAGGTCCTGGGTGGTGGCCACTATTGAAAATGCTGGCTTTGTGGCAGTGGACAGGGCAGTGGACCTGTACAGCAGGCCCCTCCTGGCTGCTCTGCTCCCTGGACAGTGTGGCCCACCACAGCTGCCCCTCAGGAAGGGACAAGCTCTGAGCCGTTTCTCAGGGAGGTGAGCAGGGCTACTAGCTGTGCAGTGCAGTCCCAAGCCCACCTCTGCCAGGCTCAGCACACCTCCAGCCACTCCTTGTGGTCCTACCCAGGGCCTCTTAACCAGTGTCACCAGGCATTTAGCACACACTGGTACTTCCTGTGCTGTGTTACCAACTCTGGCCTGCAAGCCTGCAGGACTGCAAGCCTGGCAGCCCATGTGTACATGTGAAATGCAGGCTGAGAGGCCAGGGAGTAGCTCAGAGGCCCACTCTCTCCAGGGAAGGGGACACTGAGGACTGGCCCGCCCAGCTCCCAAATAACTGCTGCTGCCAGCTGAGCCACCAACTGTATGTCCAGGGAACACGCTGGAACCTGGACGCAGTGACCTCTGACCCCAGCAGCACTGCCAACAACTTATGCCAGGCCTTCACCTGTCCTTGGGAGGGAGTGTGCACCAAGCACGGGGAGCAGGGGGCTGGGCACGCTGGTGGGCAAAGGCGGCCCTGCAGACTGAAGGTGCCAGGCTCCACTGGGTCCCTGTCCACTGGCACCACAGCAGTCACACAACAGACCTTCACACACCTGGTGCTGGGTGGTACCAATCTGTGTTTATTGAATAACCAATGTCCAGGACATGGCAATGATTGAACATCAAGGAAGCCATCAGTGTATTCCCCTTTTCAGTGAACCCCCCCAAAAAAAACCAGTAAGGAGAAAAGGCACAGTATATACACGTGACACAAGGGCTGGCTGCCCTCCTGGGCAGGGTGCATAAATTACAGTGACAGGGAAGGGGCAAGAGACTGAGAATGGATGAGGCCCGAGCAGACCAACGGTACCCTGCTGAGGGTACCCCTCATTTGTGCTGGGGCTCCCGCCCACCCCGTCCCCAGAAGTTCCAAGGCGTGATAAGTGCTGTATCCCTCAGGAGGCCCGGGAGGAAGTCACCAGGGAGGCCCTGAGCCGGGGATCCAGAAAAGGGGCATCAGTTGTTCTGGGACCCCATCAAGGCGAGGGACCTCATTCCTGGCCCCCAGCCCGAAGAGGCATGTCACTGGGGAGGGATTGGGGCTGGTCTCTGCTACCTTGGCTCATTTTCAGGACAAGAATCAGGAATAAAAATATACTATGGAGGTAGGCGGGTAGGGGTAGGAGGGAACCAAGAGTCTGCACTGAAGACCCCTGGACCCCAGGCCCAATAGGTGGCTTCATCCCTCCCAGCCCTGGGCCTACCCTGAACTTGGGCTGCTGTCCCAGGGGGCAGGGGAGTGGGAAGAACAGGACAATTAAATAAGATACCGTTTATTTTTGTAAAAAATTAAAAAATAATGCCAACATTATTTTACCCATCCCCAGGCCTGCCCCTGCTCCCCAAGCACCTCCCAGGCCGGGCTCCCTCCTTCCCTGGCTGTCCCATGGAATGACAAGAAAACAATGCACTGGCTGAGTCAGGCACAGGGGAGGGGCGCAGACCTGGGGAGACATAACGATGCCACAGCAGCTTCGCCCTGCATCACAGCAGACCCAAGCACACAGATATAAAAACATTCATATAAAAAGAGGGAGGGTGTGCTGGGCACCGTCCCATACCGAGGGCACAGTGCTCCCGGGTGCCCAGAGACCTGGCCCCCAGAGGAAGCAGAGAGGGGAGATGTGCAGGGTCTCCGAGGGCTGGAGGCAGGGGCTCTCGGAAGGAACCGCTCCATCTCTGCCTGTGGTCGTCCCTCGTTGCACGCTGGGGCGCAAACTGAGGTGTCTACGGACCGCAGCTTTGAGGTGCTCTGCCTGGCCCTCTGGCCTGCAGTGGTGCCAAAGCCTTGCAGCAAATAGCTCAGAAGACGAGGCCATCCCCACAGCTCTCAGAGGGAGAGCAGAGGGAGAGTCAGAGACAGAGGGGGTCCTGGGAGAGACACTAAGACAAAGGCAGAGGGAGGGAGGCCATGCCCGGTGGTCAGGAGGCGGCAATGGCAGTGCCGCCGCCCAGCTTGACAATCATCTGCTGGCAGTCGTTGCAGGAGCGCCGGTCGCCCACCTTCTCCAGCGTGCGGGCAGCCTCGGCCAGCAGCACGGCCCGCTGGCCCGGGGAGGAGAGGAAGGAGAGAGGAAGGTGGCGACATGCCAGCAGGATGGCAGTGGCCCGCTCTCGCTGGCCAGGCCAGGCGTCCACCTCTCCTGTGGGAAAGAGGAGATCCGTGCAGGTGCCGTTCCACGGCCCCAGGCAGACGCTGTCACTGAACCCTCACATGCCTCCTGCGTTGCCCTCCCTGGTTCACAGCCAGCACAGTGGAGGACCAGAGCATGCGGGGCGGTAGGCGCACCCCACGAGGTCGCTGCCCTGCTCCTGCACTGGGACCTCGCAGCCAGCCCTCCTGCCCGCTCCAGGCTGGACTCCCGCCACTCAGTGAACACCCAGCCCCGCAGCCATCAAACCGGACCTGGGGCTCCTTTCACAGCCACAGCGCCCTGCGCACCGCAGCGCCTTCTCCAGAGGGAGTGGCTGGGCGGCACAGCTGGTCAAGGGGCCTCTCCCCAACCTGGCCAGAGGGGAGTGGAGGGACCCACCGTGCTTCGTGCTCTCGGTGGTGCGGCGGCGAAGGCTGTGCTCTAGCAGCTGGTGCGTACGAGTGGGGCTGGCTCCTGCCATCAAGCGCACGGTAGCTTCATGCAGGAACACCTGGCAAGGTACAGGCGACACGGTCACGCCCCAGCTCTTGCCTGGGAGGGATGGGGGTGAGGGGGACAGCTGGGCTAGTTCCACACACAGCACCTCATTTCCTGTTTCTTCAGAAAGGAACAGAGCCCAGAGGTTTCGAGGTGAAAGTCAGCATATCTGAGGTAAACAGGAATCACTAGGTATCTAGGTTCTTAAAATCCTAAATACCAACTGACCATGGTGCCACACATCTGTAATCCCTGCACTCTGGGAGGCTGAGGCAGGATGGCAGGTTTCTAGCCCAGCCTGGATAAATTTAGGGATTCACTGAAACACTGTCTCAAAATAAAAAAGTGAGATGGGGCTGGCGATGTAGCTCAGGCCGAAGGTCCTGTGTACAATCCCCAGCACCACAAAACAAGCAGCTCCACGTCCTGTCCCGGGCCTCAGTGCTGCTGGGAGGCCATGGGATCCCCTCAGTGGGGAGAGGTGGGGATGGAGAGGTTATTTTCAGAGGCGTCTCTGATGCCAGCCACGCTGACAGCAGACCAGAGGGTGGGCCACAGTGGGTGTCCAGGCAGGGCCACACTTCTCTTTCCGGTGAGGGCTGTGCTGTGGCGCTGGTATGCTGTGTGCAGCATCAATTGTGGCAGCTGCACAGTGGCTGGGATGACCTGTGGAGCTGTCCCAGCACCTCAAGGCAAGGCGCATGGGTCCGTGGCAGCAGCCACGTTCTGAGACCTCCTTTTTGTCCCCTTCAAGCATAACCTATGCCCCTTCCTGACACAGATCACACTCAAATTTTTAGAAAATAATCTGGGGCCGCGTTTATAGCTCACTGGCACAGTGCCTGCCTGGCAAGCATAAGGTCAAGTTCAATTCCCAGTACCCCCCCGCCCCCCCAAAAAAACAACAACCAAAAAACCAGGTAAAATATATTAATCCTAACACAAAGGAATGATGAGGCAAGGAATATGCTAGATCTGATTACTATACATTATATACACTATACCTACCTGTGTGTCAAGGAAAAATAAAAAATATACTAAAAAACATTTAATACAAACCAGGTGCAAGTGGCACACACTTGTAGTCCCAGCTACTTGGGAGGCTGAGGCAGAAGAGCTGCTTAAGGCCAGGAATTTGACGGCAGCCTGGACAACATATACAAACAACAAGCAGGGCATGGTGGCGCATGCCCAGAGGCTGAGGCAGGAGGATTGCCATGAATTTGAGGCCAGCTTGGGCTAAAAGTGAGTTCAAAGCCAGACTGAATCTCAGAGTGAAACCGTGTCTTAGAAGAGACAAAAAACAAAACAAAACAACAACAAAAAAACACACAAGAAACAAAACCCCCGAAACAACCAACCAACCAAAATACATTACTCTAATTAGCAATAAAAATAAAGAGGGAAATGATGAGTCTAGCAAGCTCAGTTACACAACTGTCCTCAGAGACCCAGCTCAGCCTGCAGCCAGCACCAAGGAGAAGTCATGTGGAGAAAGGCAGGACCGAAGTCCCCAGTGGCTCAGAGAAAGAATTAAAGTGGATCTGTGTGTGGTTCCAGGGAGAGTTTGTCACTTGTTTGTTTTTTGTTTTTTTTGTTTTTCTCCGGTACCGGGAACCGAACTCACGACCTTGCGCTTGCCAGGCAGGCGCTTTTGCCGTTGAGCTAAATCCCCAGCCCCGAGAGTTTGTCACTTGGACAAGCAGTTATGAAGTCAGAGCAGCTCCCTGGTGACCAGGACCAAGGAGCTCCTCACCCGCCCTATACCCGAGCCCAGTGTCTGACCGGTGAGGTGTGGCTGTGTGGCTCCAGGCCAGGGCAGACTGTGGCCACTCCCTGCTGTGTCTGGGCTGAGCACATAGTAGGTGCCCTGTCATGTGCTGAACAAAGGAACACACTGTACCCAGCCCAAGGCTAGGCCTTGGCAGGTGACTTCAGAGGGCCAACTCCACAGTCACAAATGTCTGTCCCACCAGCCTACTGGGCCTCACCTTGCGATACGCTGGGCGGAAGCTGTGTGCTAGCCTGCGCAGGCTGCCCAGGTCTCGCTGGAAGCCAGCCAGCTCGGCCCCTGATGCATGGTAGGTCTCACCCAGGGCCTGGCTGGCACCCGCTTGCTTTTGCCAGAGTGCTGTCCGCAGTGACAACAGCAGGTCACAGGTGAGCAGCTGGACCACCTGTGCGGGGCGAGAGGGAGGAGACAGGTGACTGGCCTGTGGCTCAGGCAGGCACCCAGGCCCTCAGCAGCCGGTGGGTGGAGCCCAGAGCCTGGGAGGAGAGAGGAGCCAGTGGGAGCACCAGTCCCTTCCCCGACCCCGGGCTGGCAGATCTGCTTCTGCCTTCTGCAGGTGAGAAAGCTGAGGCTCTAAAAGGGCAGCAGTTTACGCAGGCGAGGCAGCACAGGCTGGGGACAAGGGCAGGGATAAAACCTTGTGGGTCTGAGGGTACCAGGTCCCCCTCACGGGAGCCCATGGCTGGCCTGATGGTTCAGATAGCCAAAGGCACCCTCAGGGAAGTGGCAGCAGTCTGGAGGCCGCGGACAGTGGGAGACAGGAGACGGAATGAACATGGAGGGGCACAGTGGTTTCACACTTGGGTGTCCGACTGACCTGGACTCAATCCCAGCTTTCCACTTCCTAGCTACATGACCCTTTAGCCTCTGAACCTCAGTTTCCTTTCTGCAAAATGGGAATGGCAGCACAGGGTTGCTGTGAGCATTCACAGACCACACTGCACATTGGCACGGTGTGTACTAGAGTCCACATGCCATCGAGACTGGTCCCACGCGGAGCAGCAAGAAGATGGCACGTCCTTGGGATGGGCCGCAAGCTGTCCTCAAGTTCACAGACTCACAGGATTCTTCATACCTCTCCCAGTCCTGGCCTTGTTTCCCCAGGGTGACCCGGGGAAACCCTGCCTGCCCTTTTCCCTGCCCTGTGCCTGCTCGAGGCCCCAACCCCTGACTACACTGTTCCCAGCTGCCGACAGCCTCCAGGGGACCTGCAGGAGGATTCTTCTTGAAGAAAAGCTGGCACTAAAAGGCGCGGGCGCTCGAGGAGCACCTGGGCCTAGGGGTACCAGGCCGGGCTGACATTTGGTCTTGAGCCACTGGGCTCTTCAAGGGTCCGTTCTCCCCCTTCCGAGCTGCTCCCCAGGCACCCCAGCCCCAAAAGTGGTCTCAGCCTCTCCCATTCCCCCGACTCGGCTAAGACTGGCTGGCTCTAAGGGAGACCACAGGAAGCCCCGCAGTGGCCCTACCCTGCTTTTAACTGGGGCCCTTCGTGTACATTATCCCCATGGGTAACGCTGTCCTGGTTCACCTGTGTCCACACCCACTGATATCGGAAGCTCCCAGCGCCAGCTGTCACGCAGGACCAGACCCAGAGAGCAGCTGAGCCCGAACCCTAGGACGCTTTCGTCAGCCTGCTCTGCCTGCTGCTGCACTCCCTGTGCCTTTCTCCCAGGAGAACCACGCGCCAGGGCAGCACCCAGCGATGGGCCGCATGTGTGTGTGTGTATGTGTGTGTGTGTCAGAGAGAGAGAGAGAGAGAGACAGAAAGACAGTGTGGTGGGTGGGCCACGTGTGTGTGTGTGTCAGAGACAGAGAGAGAGAGACGGTGTGGTGGGTGGCCTCTGGAGGGCGGGCAGGCCTCTGGGATGCACTGTGGAAACATTGCACGGTACGCCAGAACATGCAATGCAACTACAATGCACCGCAGCCACCCGCCAGATGTGCGCAGGCCATGGCCGTGTGCGTGTGAGGGCAGGGCCGTCCGGAGATTGGCAGGACAGTGCAGGGAGTCAGTGGCTGTATGAGCAACTGCAGCCCTGGCCAGCTGCGGTTCACATGGGGCTTGAGTAAACAGGGCTGCAGGAACTGGGACTCAGGAGGTGAGGACAGGCACTGATAATAATGCTTCCACCCCCCCGGGACCAGACGGGGTGTCCACTTAGGCGAATGGGCCACACTTTGGAGCAACATGGGTGTTCTCACAGAGCAGAGGACAGCACCTCCGGAGGGGATGCCAAGCCCAAACTCACGTGGTTGAGGGTGGGGTCAGAGGTGGCCTCGCTGACATTGAGGCTGCTCCACAGGTGGCCGCTGGCCCTCTCACAATGGCAGAAGGAATTCTGCTGCCCATCTGCTTTCCCAGAGAGCGAGGTATGCATAGCTTTGCAGGCATGGAAGACAGCCTTCACCAGGGGGCTCCTGTGGCGGTGACAGGGAGGGGAGAGGCAGGTCACAGTGTTACCTCCGTAACAGGCAGAGGCACCTAAGAGGTGACCACCATCCCCCACACTGCTATGACACACGGCTCTGTCACTACAATGCTGCCATCACGGTTCCCAGTTGCCAACTCCAGCTGGGAGCGAGGTCAGCTCATCCCGCATCTTACATTTGATGCTGGGACCAGAAATCCAGGCTCAAATTCAAACAATCTGTGCCTCAATTTTCTTACCTATGACTATAATACCAATTGCTACTACCTATGGTGATACAGGTGCTGGCCTCGTTATTGCACCCATTCTCAGAAAACTGGTGTTAATGTCTCTAGAGAAACTTAGAGGGCTGTGGGGTTGGGGAGTGTGTTGGTTCCTACAGCATCACTGTCCAGAAATGCAAAGGGAGCTGGAGTAATTGAACCTGGGGGGCGGGGGTGCCCGCTGAGGCGTCAGCCCAGCTGTGCAGCTGAGGAGTGAAGGGACTTCAACAACCTGCCTGCTTGGCCTCAGCTTCCCCAGGGAGGCTGGCGGGTGGCACACGAACACAGGGCTGGTGCGGGGTTGGGGGCTTACAATGGGACTACTCAAATGGAAGTGGGGCAGCAGACCTGCTATAGGAAACACCGGACTCTAATCCGCCCACCCCTCTCTCCTTGCTCGCTCCCGCATTGCCGGTGGCGGTCTGCTTGGTGGAGACGTGCCAGCCTTGGCACTCGGGACAGGACCCCTTAGGGCCTTTCTGCCTCACAGCACCTTACAGTTTGTCTCAGGAGCACTCACATCTAATCAGGAAGACCAGGCTGCCCATCACTGGGGGGAACATGCCCTCAAGATGCAGACACTGGTCTCAAAGAAGAATGTCAGAAGTGCTCTGCTCAGGCCTCGTGCCACAGGCCCTGTACGGTACAAGGCTGACAGCGCCAGTGGGCTGGGGGTGGCTGAAAGGAACCGAGAAGCCACCAGGATGCACTCGTCCTGGAAGCCCATGGCGCACGGAGGCCGTGGGGAAAGGCCTGAGAAGCAGTGCTGACAGCTGCTGAGACAACTGTCGAGCCGCACACAACACTTACAACCTCTCCTTGGTGCCCTCTCCCCTTCTATAGCCCCCCATCTAGTGTAGAGATCTAACCCTGCACCCCAACACAGCCACCCGGACCTGCTCCCTCCCACTAACCCACACAAGGCCCCTGGAGAGAAGCAGGAGGCTGACGTACTCAGTCACTTCCAGGGCCTTGGGGACACGCTCCACGTCGGTAAAACAGGAGCGCACAGCTGCATCATCTCCCTGGAGCCAGCTGATGGCCAATGTGACTGCAGATGTCCACCAGCGGCAGATGACGTCTGGACCTAGAGGACACAGCAGCAAATGCTCCAACATCCACGGGACCTGCTCTGTGGAGCCCAGGGCTCTGCGGCCACTGCTCCACGCTGCACGGCATCTCTGCTTCCTGGCAATGGGCAGGGGACTCTAGGTTGCCCCCCCAATGGTTCTGATATAATGACTTGCAGTCTTTTGAAAAGGTCCACCAATATGTCTCACTTCTATTAATCCCATTTGGGGCAATCCATCATACTAACATTGGATTAAACAGACAAGTTTAACAAAATGTTCACCGTAAGAGTTAGACACAACCTAAACTTCCACTAGCCATGAAGACTCGTGCCTTTAAAGGATCTGTAGTAACAGAGGCATGTTAGAGTAGTTTAAATTCTCTCCTCCAAGTCTCAGTTTTCTCATTTGCAAAACTGTGATACTAGTGATCTCACAAAGCCAGTGGGGATGGTCACCCAAGAGCAAAGGCTGGAGAACATGCACTCTTCCGCTTCTAAAGTAAGACAAGCCACGCGGTCAGGATGCTGTTCTGGGATCCTTCCCTCCCTAGGGAGACAGGGCAGAGGGTAGCTGGGCACCCCCCACCTCCCCTCAGTAGCCCAGAAGCCCAAGAAAGGGCAGCTGACATGCTAGCCCTTGGCAGTGTAGGGAGAGGAGCAGAGTCGTGGCATCGGCAGGTTATGCTGTGACACTTGTGGTGGGGAGCCAGACAGACGTCCAAAGGTAAGTCTTCAGCAGGGAGGCAAGCTCAGCCTCGGGCCACTGTGTACCCGGAAGCTGAGTCTCTACCAGCCCATTCTGGGCATCTAGGAAGGGTCCTGACCTGGCTCAACCAGGCAGGCTGTGTGGACAATCACTCACCCCTGTCCAACCCACTTGGATGAGGACCACACCTCCTGAGCCCAGAATGCTACCATGGAGCGGTAACTGGGTTGGGGTGACCTGGGGCCACAGGCACAAACTTGGGACCAGAGATGTTTGGTATACACTTGTAACTCATTCTGGACCCAGAGTAGACAGGAGGCGGGCAGGACTCAGGCGACATCCCTGCCCCAAGCTACAGATGCTCACCAAGGGCTGACTTGAGCACAGAGCTGCTGCAGAATGGTGGGGCTGCAAACCCCACAGAGTCCACGAAAGAATGAAGTAATTTCAGGTACTCCAAAGCACTGGAGAACTCACTAGAAAGAGAAGAGAGGGTCCTATGTACAAAACTAGACAAACATTCAAGGCCCCTGCTGTTCACCTCTTTATCTCTGACACCCAAAGGCCCATTCTCCACACCATGCCGGGCATGCTGAGCTCACCCTTCACATGCTATGCAGGCCAGCCTTTCTCCTCCTCTCCTCCCCAACCACCACTGACACCTCCCTTCAAGGCCCCATTCCAATGTCATATGCTTCCAGAAGTTTCCTAATTCCCAGTTAGAACTGTCTCTCAAGACAGGCACACTGCACGAGAGTGATTTTGGCACCTCTCTGCCTCCCAGGTCTTATTCTATGCCTACGCCCACCATCTGTGTCCGACTTACCCTACCTGGCACGCTTACCCAGGGGCTGGGTCCCAAGATGTCCAGGTCAGAGGATCTGCCTTTTGCTGAGCCCTCTATGTCCCATTCCTATCCCTGCTCGAAAGGCCACCCCCAAGTCGAATGCCTGACTCACTCTAGCAAGTGGCTCCACTTGGTGAGGCGGGTAACTCAATGGAGAAAAGGGACTTACCTAGTCTAGGAAAAAGTCAGACTTCAGAGGGAGTTCTACTATTGAGGAATAAATACAAGGGCATCGTTCCACTTCCTGGTCAACCTGACACCAGGGCTTGTTCCTGCCACCGGTGCATCCTGGGTGATGGGGCCTGATGTGGGGGTGGCCTGGGGACTTTACCAGCTCTCGTCTTCCTGGTCTCCAGCTTTCTTCTTGGCCTGAGGTTTCACCAAGGACTCCACAGCTCGCTCCAGCAGGTTCTTGCAGAAGGCCTGGTGGACCTGGGCAATGGGGTCGGCTGAAGAAGGGAAAAACAAGAAGGGTTAAATGGGTTTTCTCATTTACGAGCCCTTTTGCACCGAAGGTGTGTAGCTCAGTGGTACAGTGCATGGTAAACAGGTGAGAGGCACTGGGTTCAATTCCAGCACCACAAAAAAGATGGATCTTACTCATGAGCCCTTAGTCTTTACAGAGAAGGACAGAGCCGAACCTAAGAAACAGCTATGCTCTGTAAAAGGGATCAATCCTCATTCTCAGCCAAAGCCCAGAACTACCCCGCTAAACAGGGTGGGGAGTGCAGCCACACTCGGACTGGAGAACCGAGTGTGCTTCTGGACTGATACCCCGGGTCATGTGTGTTGTGTGTCTTGGCATGGAGCTCAGACCATCAAGGCTGTGGCTGTGCCTTATCAGAACCAGAAAACGGAAAGGCAGGTTCTAGCTCAAGTCCCAGAGGTTGTCTGAGAACAGCCAACCGAAGAGAAAAAGGAGGCGGCAGCAGCCCTGTGCTCTTGGCAATGAAGAACCCACACCTCTATTTCTCTGACCATGTCATCGAACCTGTGATCAGCAGTGCTCTGGCTGAGCGGAACAGATGCGGCCCTGCAGTGCTTGCAGGAGCTACTGACCCTGACAGGTCCCTCTTCAAATCCCCGCATCACTGGCTCCTGTCCTCCCCACGTACGCTGCAGATACGCACTCCTGATCTGACCCAGAGGGGACATTTATGAGTACTTTCTAGATGACGAGGCCTTGACATAGGAAAGAGATGGTGAAGCTTTTTGAGATGAGTGCCCAAATCCAGTTATTTATCACGAAGAGCCAACACCACAATTAAACCTGAATGCTGAGATGTTAGTTTAGGAAAAAAAATTCATATATTAACATCTTTTGTCTTAAAAACAACACGCATGCCATAGCTTTAGCACCACCAACCTAGGGATCTCATCAGGTACGCAAGCCGGTGGGAGGTCTATGCTGTAGAAAAACTGTCAGTGGGAACAGGGTTGAAAGACTTGAGACTGACTCCTTTTGCTTTCGTTCTTCATTTTTTGATGGAGAACATACTTCTCATATTGAGAATAAAGTTATTTTTAAAAGAAGCCTAGAAAACCCCTCCAAATGCTTGACACGCTTCCTCACCTGCAGAGCTCGCCTCTGCTCCCTGACTGTCCAAGCACTCACGGTCGGACTACACCCGCCAGCCTCTGCCGCTCCAAGGCCAGCCCAGTCAACTCCAATCACTATCAAATGCCAGGGACAGAAAGCCTGAATCTCCTTCCAGTGCCTGGAGCCCTATTCCTGTCACCTCTCTGAGCACTTGATGACTGCCCGCCGCCTATTGTTCCCTCACTGCTTCGTATATGTCTGCCTGCTTTTGCAATGGGACCAGGAGGCCCGGAAGCCAGGAAATGGCAAGACCTACACATCCTTTGTGTCTCCAAAGCACCAGAACCAGGGCCAAGAATACAGCCGGTGCTTAGTCACCACTGATCATGTATGGCATCTGACGTGAGGACCACAGGCTCTGATGGTCCAAGAGAGCGGAGCTGTAAACCCAAGTCTCCCACAGGCAGGCAGACTCTGGCCAGGCTCTCCTTAGGAAGTTACTTAACACCTGCTTGTGCCTCAGGTTTTTAAAAAATGGATTAAATAAGACAGACACCACCTGTGTCTGCATTTAGGGCACAGGACCCTGCAGCAGGAGCGGTTCCCCCAGCTGCCTCCTTCTGAGCAGCAGGGAAGGCACACTCACCCGGGTTCCTCTGGGCACAGTACAGACTCTCCTTGGCCGCCGACTTCACCGACCAGCTCCGCTCCATGAAAAACTTCTGGCCTAGAGGGTGGCACAGCCAGCGCAGAGAGTCTGGGATGGCGCTGTGCTCAGGCCCACACAGGCTCTGGGCGCGGCTGAGGAAGTAGTTCTGCGGAAGAACAAGGACCACATGTGACACCAAGGTGGCAGAACGCTGGCTGCAGCTACTGTGGGGTCTCAGAAAGCATCAGGATGGAGGCTGGCTACGGGGATCAACAGAGAGCACGGCCTGCCCTGAACCCCACCATAGAAACGAGTGCAAGTGGCTTTTTTCTGGGGAGCCAGGTGTGGCTGGCAATCAGGTCCCAACTCCAAGGTGGGGCAGGAAAGAGTGGCGCAAGGCTCACGTGGGCTCCTGCTGCGCCCTGTCCCACAGAGCCTGCCCCTTCCGGAATCCAGTTCTTGCCTCAAGCTGCACAGCACGGTGGGGGCTGTCTGCCAAGGTGGGGTCTCAGTGGTCCCCTGCCCACGCTCCCCCCTCATCCTTCTGAGTGCCAAGCTCCCCAAATCCTTTCTTTTCGTGCCACTTTAATTACCTGTCCTTTGAAGTATTTTCAGGCAAAACTGTATTCTGCTTTGACTAATTCTCCATCTCTTTCACCTTTGGGTAGAAAGAGTTTAAAAGAGGGCCCAGTATAGAGATAGCTGTCACCATCATACCAGACAGCACTGTATGGGAGGGACAGCTCCGCCAGAGCCCCTCCCTCATACGGGGATGGATGGACACACACACACACACACACACACACACACACACACACACACACACACGGCCACAGCGGGGCTTTGAGAGCGCTTGGCTGCCTTCCAAAGCACCAGAGTTCCCCTTTCCACGCCCTCCGCACTACCAGGATAACATTATTTCAGGGCCCCAGGGGTAAGAATTGCAGAGACAGTGCTGCCTGTCACACATTTTCAGAAGTCCTGTCATGTTCTGTGAGTGAGGATATCCTTCCTCTACATCCACGACTTCTGACCTGTGAAGCTGCTCGACGCAGGCCAACGTGAGAGGGAGCTGAGTGGAGAAGGATGAGGAGGGAGGGTCTTGGCGCTCCAGTCAGAGCTCGGAAGCGTGGAGCAGGGGCTGCTGGGCCACAGGCAGAGACCGCCCCTTCCACTCCAGGCGCTGCCTCCACACAGGGCAGTCGTCCCACAGTCTGCTTCGGTCTCTTGGTTCTGACCTTTACTGGGCCCTAAGCAGCCATCAGCTAATGTAACAGCTTCAGAAGACTTGAATGCCAGGGTCAGAAATAGCACAGCCACGGCGCACCAGGCAAGGAAGCAGACAGGAAGACTGCCCCTCTCCAGGGCACGTGGCGACAGCTGCCTGAATCTGAGCGGAGCGATCTGGCCAAATGCTCTACGGACACACACACTGGGATGGCAGCTAGTGCGGGAGGGGAAGGGGTATTTCCCTTAAGTTTCTCATCGCAGGGCCAGTGACACTAGTTTGACCTTCTGCAACTGGACCAGAGCTGTGACCTGCAGCAGCCGGACAGCAGCAGCAGAGCCACGAGGGGGAGAGGCAGGGGTGGGGTGGAGGGGAGTGTGACACGTTGGGACATGAAGCCAGGGCTTCCCGGGTCCGAGAGGCCTGGTAACAGTGACCTCAGGGCTCCCCAGCCTGATCGGCAAGGGAGCTCAGGGGAAACCAAGGATGAGCTGAAGGACCCAAATGTCAGACAGACTCAGAAACAAAGCTGGGCTACGAAGACGAACCCACAGAGGCCATTTAGGAAATCATTAAGTTGAAACATGCTTTTATGTTGAATTCTAAAGAAACACTTTAGTTATAACCACTCTCGGGTGGGGGAGCTTGAGTTTAGCAGTTTGAACTAATAAGAAATATAAATCTGGGATAGGCAGAGCCATTGTCTGGCTTCTGTAAGGGAAATTTACAAATAACTTTTATTACTCTTTTAATTTTCTTGGCATTACAGTTCCATGATTTTCCTCAACTTCATTTTTTAAAAAAATTTTCCTAAATTTATAAACACCAGCATTCCCCCAGGCTGGGGCCCAGGAGCCCTCTTCGGTAACCTGCCTGCTAACTGCCTCATGCAAGGGGCCATGGCAGAAACCCCTGAGCTGTTCAGATCCTGAACGCCATCCAGCACTCTTGGGCCAGTCCCAATTCCAGGCTGTGTGTCCTCCACCCACCTAATCCTAGTTCTCAAACTGTGGGCCAAGGGGCTGCAGTCTGTACCTCCCAAGGGAAGTGGACAGAAAGGGGCAGTCACTGTGGAGGTTGCAGTCCTTCTTCTCCATTTCACTGAATATAAAAATTAGGCAGTACTATTACAGTTGTGAGTATTTATACCCTTTGTTTGACCCAGGATCACCGCCTCTAGAGATTTAGTCTGAGGAAGTTCTCACAAAGGTGTGTAAGGACAATGTACCAAGATGTTCATGCAGTGGTTTGAAACAGCAAAACCCATAAATGCCTCCAATGTCCCTCAGTATCACCTCAGTCCCTCAGCTGAATAAGGAGACTATGAAGAAAGATGCCTAAGATCTACCACTAGGGTAAAAAACGCAAATGGCACAACAGGGTTTGTGCTGGGCACAATGGCACACGCCTGTAGTCCCAGTACTTGGGAGGCTGAGGCAAGGAGGGTCACCAGGTTCTCACTATGCAGTTCAGGCTGGCTTTGAGTTCACTTTGTAGCCCAGGTTGGCCTTAAACTTGCAATGATCTTCCTGCCTCCGCCTCCCAAGTGCTGGGATTTCAGGTGTGCACCACCATGCCTGGCACCGAAAAAGTTCTGAGAAAATATACACTAAGATATTAAGCTACACCAATCTCTGCTCTGTTAGGCCTACAGAGTATTTTGGGGTGTGTGTACTCATGGGCAAGGGCAGTCTTGGTTTTTTTATGACAAGGTCTTACTATGTGGCCTCAGCCTCTTGAGTAGCTGGGACTATAATAAGCATGTGCTGCTGCACCTGGCCTGTCAGGAGGATTTTAATGGGACTGTTTTCCTGATCCTCAGCTGCCACACAAATGCTTACCTCAAATAGTCGCTCTGAGTCCTTTTTGGCCTCAGAGAGGCCAGTTGCATCTTAGCAATAAGGACAACTGAAATCCCAGAGAGGATTTTGGGATGACAAAATGATCCCAAAATTTTTATGGCAAGGTAAAGAGCAAAACGCCACCCTAAAATGGGAGGACCAACACTTCCAGATATCAAGACATTAGAAAGCAGAGCTACTGGGGCTGTGTGCAATGGGGCAGACTGGAGTTCCAGAGACCTGCAACACAGATGCTAAATTTATGAAAAAAGACCTACTCAGTGCAATGAGGGAAGGACAGTTTCAAAAATAACAGGCACTGCTCAGGCAAATGGCCACACAGGGTAGGGAGATCAATTCTGAACCCCTACCTCCAGCTAATAAAAACAATTCTAGTGGATTGAAGGTCTGTACATGAAGAGCAAGAAATACCCCTTGTAGTAGACAACACAAGAGAATTATCTTCGCAACTCTTAAGCAGGGCACACATTTACTACAGAGGACACAAAATGTCTAATTGTAAAAGAAGACAATCGATTTCATTAAAGTCAGGAACTTGTGTTTATCAAAAGACATCATTAGCTGGGTGTGGTGGCACATGCCTGTAATAGCAGCACTATGGAGACTAAGGCAAGAGGACTGCCACGAGCTTGAGGCTAGCCTGGACTACATAGTGAGTTCAAGGGTACCCTGACCTACATAGCAAGACCCAGCCTCAAACAAACAAACCAAACCAACATCATTAAGAAAGAGAATTGCTGGGCATGGTGGCGCATGCCTGTAATCCCTGCACTCCAGAGGCCAAGGCAAGAGGACTGCCACAAATTCGAGACCAGCCTGGGCTACATAGTGAGCTCAAGGCCAGCCTGAACTGCAATAGTGAGACCTTGTCTCAAAAAAAAAAACAAAACAGAAAACAAAAAAAAAAGGAGAGAGAATACAAGCCTACTACAATCTCAGCACTGTGAATGCTGAAGCAGGAGGACCACAGTTCAAGTCAACTCTAGACAATACAGTGACTAGAGAGATCAACTCAAAACAAAAAATGCATTGAGATCTCAATCAAGATCATCTCAGGACCACCTATTCTAATCTGCACTGTGGCAGGGGCAGGGACAGGCATAGGGAGAAAGAGCATGAATTGGTATAGTACATATCCAACAAAAGATCACGTGTAGTGTAAAAACTCTATCAGTGTAAGGACAGACACCAGGCTGGGGAAGCAGCTCAGTGGCAGAGTATTTTCTCATTGACATGTGATATAACTCCATACAACAACATAAACCAGCCTAACACATGACACTGAGCCAAAGAAGCTGCACCAAACATCAGTGCTGTTTGACTCCCCTACACAAAGTTTAAAGAGCGGCCAAACACAAGAGACCAGGACACTGGTTACTGTGGGTGGAAGGACTCCAGCGAGGGCAATTTAATGACTGCAAGGAGGCCTCAGGAAGGATTCTGAGGTCTTAATTCTGTTTCTTTTTTCTCAGTAACAGAGATTGAAATCAAGGAGCACAAAGCTCTATCTCCAGCCCCTCATAGCTTATTTTGATATAGGGTCTCACTAAATTGTCTGATGCTGCCCTTGAAATTGCCATCTTCCTGCCTCAGCCTCCCAAATAGCGGAATTACAGGTGTGCGCCATCCTGCCACCTAGTTTGCTCTGATTCTGGATCTGTCTGTTGGTTATACTGTTTCTTTTGGCAAGTCAGCAACCTGCATATATGTATTACATGTGGACTTTTCTATGGTCATATTCTACCTTAGTGAAAGAGTCACAGAAACTGGCTGTGTGTGGCAGTACATGCCTGCAATATCAGCTACACAGGCAGAGGGGGCTGATGCTGCCTTGTGGGGGTGCTGGGAACATTCTCCTTTTCTTGATCTGGATGGTTGTTACATGGGTGACTTCCTTTTGTGGGTCTCCTTGTGCTCTTTGTCACCTACACTATGAGGCGTACTGCAGGAAACCGACACATCAGTGTCAGCACAGGGCACATTCCCGATCATTCTCAGCTCATCACCTCTACTCCCAACGTACAGAAACAAATGAGATGTGATAACCCCATCAGAACAGACGTAATGGGTTTAGCAGTCTACCCGAAGTAGGGCACCGAGTAAAACATGCCTGCATCTGCAAGAGCAGGGGAAAGCCTGGGGTCAGCAGATGCTGTGAATCTGCTGATAATAGGACAGGAACTAGCCAGCTGCGAATGCCCATGGCCGGCGCCTTGCCAGGCAAACTGGAAGCACTTGATAACTTCAGTTCCTGCCCCAGGTCTGACCTGAGCTCCTTGTAGATGGGCACTGATTTTCATATCTGGATCCACAGAGCTGTGATCAACACAAGGTGCCCAACAGTGGAAACAAACAGGAACTTCCCAGACTGAAAAGTGGGGTAATAACCCCCAAGAAGGCCATGCAGTATCTCTGAACCAATCTTCTTACTGTATACTGCCCAGAGGTCCCACTTGCAAGGGCCAGGAGGGGAGGGATCATGGTTGGTTCCATTCACTGCTCTAGGTGCTTGTGGGACTGGAGGGTGGAAGAATGCCCACTCCTCTGGGTGGCAGCACCTGAGGCCAGGGACCTCGCACTGTCTTAGCTCCTGGCTGGGGAGGGTGCGCAGCACAGGCCTGTGGAAGGAAGGACACCGAAAGGGTACTCACGGCCAGGAAGCCCAGCCTGCCTCCGCACCGGGTCTTGAGCCCCATGGCGGCAGTCAGATGGATCTCCACCAGCGTGCTTGGTGGGATCTTCTCCTCAGCACACTCCGCCAGGTTCACCGCACACAGAGCCATATGCACATCTGAACACGGAGACCCTGCAGGGAGCTTCCCTAGGGCAGGCAGAAAGAGACATTGATGTGGACAGATCCCCCAAAGCAAGCATCTACCTTTCTTCTCTAGTGCCATCAGAGTGGAGGGTGGTACCATCAGACAGGCCTGCATGTAACGCCAGGCTCTGCCCACCTGCTAGCTGTGTGCTTCCCCCCATAATGGGTGGGGACAAGGCGCTCGGCTGTAAATGTTGTACAGGACTCAGAGGTGTACCGTGCAACATTTCCCACAATGGAGTCAACAGCACGGCCACATCCACTGACACACGACTGAGTCTCCAAATGTGTCAATGGAGGTAATGAAGAATTAAAAGAACAAAGTGAAAACCAAAGCAAATTTGAACTGTTGAAATTTAAGAAGAAGCTTCCCCACAATAAGCTAGGTATGGTGGTGTATCCCTGTAATTCCAGCTGTAGGAGGCTGAGGCAGGACTGCCCTGAGTTCAAGGCCAGTCTGGGTTACACAGCAAGACACTGTCTCGAACATATCCCACGAGGAGAAAGGAACATAATACTGGGCAATGATGGCTGGACACATGTTGGGATAGTAGGCAGAAGGCCTGGAAAGACCTACTGAGCGCTATGGGAAGTACACCGCAGCTCTTCCGGAGGCAACCATGAGACTAGGGGACGAAGTGCCCCTGCATAGGTCCAAGGACCTGTGGCTTTCCTGAGGCTTTCATAAAGTTGTTAGCTTTGGGCCTCACTCCAGGGGTGGGAGGGGGCAAAGTCAGGTGAACCAATCTCTGACACGCGCCTCCAACTGGGCCCCACAGTTCACCCTGCACTGGCCCAGAGCATCTGTCCCCTCCGTGAGGCAGAGCTTTCTCCCTCAGCAGGGCGAGGGCAGTGCAGTGTGGAAACCATGCTGCAGTCACCTCTGTCCTCTCAGTGCCTCTCCTGGGCCATGGCCCAGAGCATGCACAGCTAATGTGGAGAGGATGAGTGACATAAAGCTTCCCAGCTGGAGTTCTCCATAGCACTTAACAGCTAGGAGGACACAGTCTCCTGATTCCAGACCTGTGTCGGGCTTGTCTGTTCCAAAGCCACAGAGGGGCAGATCTGCAGCCAGGGACCTGCTGAAACTCTTTTGTTACAACTGCAGTGGCCCACGGTCTCATCTCTGGGTCACTCCTCCATCCATGGTGCCTGGGTCCACTCAACTTCTGCCTGAAAGTCCTGAAGCCACCAGGGATTTTTGTTTATTTATTTATTTTTATAACTTTCTGTTCAAATTTTATTTGAAATCTAATTCAAACTGTCAAAGCTATAAAAGGGGGGAAGACATCTGTATTATCTTTGCTAAATCACAACATCCTAAAACAAAATACTACTACTGCCAGCAGATCCATTATACACATTTCTGATGAAATTCATTAGCACAGTAAAAATTTCATTTTGAGAAACAGCCACAACGAAAGTAACACCAGGGATTTTTAACACTTCCCTGAAACCACGTTCCAGTACCCCCTGGCTCGCACCCTACCCTCCTGCCCTTGCTCCCCTAACCCGTGTTGCTCAATTCTCTCTGACCCCTCCCTGCCCCTCCCCAGTGTAAAGGACAGGCAGTATCCACCTTGACCTCCAGCGCTCTGCTTGTCCTTACATGAGGTACTTTCTGGGGATCCCCTCTCATGAGCTCCTTACGTTTTTGTTCTCCCTTGTAGGCCCAGAATCCGTTTTCTGGCCCATCTGCCTGAGAATACCTCCCTCTAGGCTGTACTGGCAAGTGTCCAAAACAGAGGGCGACACCTTTCCTCAGGAAAACCACTATTCCCCGGGGTTTCCTTCACCTCTCTGGGTGGTACCATTGTTCTCTTAAGCCCCCGAGCAGGAAGCCAAGGAAGTCCAGGCATGGTGGCCCACACTTGTAATTCTAGCACTCAGGAGGCTGAGGCAGGAGGACCACCACAAATTTGAGGCCAGCTTGGGTCCTTCAGTGAGGTCAGGACCATTCTGAACTACATAGCGAGATCCTGTCTCAAAAAACAAAACAAAACAACAGAAGCTAAGGGAGCATCCTAGCTGGTTCCTTTTCTCACCCATCACATCCCCTGAGTCTCCAATTCCAGTCAATTTTATCTGCTAATTTTCTCGCCATGTGTCCCTTTGGGCATCTGTCATCTTGAGGCTGTATCCAATCTCTATCTGCTACTTCCGCACTCGAGAAGCGCCAAACTGATCAGGTCATTATTTCCCTAATGGCCTTCACTGGATCCTCACACAGTGTATGGTTCCCACCCTGGCAACCACATCTTTCTCGCCCTGGTGTCTCAGCTCCATCATCTCCTTGCGTGACTCCCTCCAGGGAGTACTTGCGCATTTTCTCAAGGGCGGCCCAAGAGGGGGCTGCTCTTTTGGGCAATCCCTCTGCCCTTCAGAGCTGCTGTCCTCTATACGTCCTTCCAGAAGCCAAGGCTTTGAAATGTCTTGGCATCTGAACAGCACAGCGAAAACATGCTCTGTCTGCTGGCCCCATGCACTACACTAAACTGTCATCCCTGTGCTGGCCTGTTCCCCTCTCCGCTAGAGCAGAAGCTTACTGAATCAGAAGAATGATCCTATCTCATTCAATTTAAGACGAGTGAAGTTGTTTTTTTTTTTTTTTCCTCTTGTTTTTTTTTTGGCCTTTTTGAGACAGGGTCTCACTATGCAGTACAGACTGGTGTTGAACTCACATTGTAGCCCAGGCTGGCCTTGAACTTGCAATGATCCTCCTGCCTCAGCCTCTCACATGCTGGGATTACAGGTGTGCGCCACCACACCTGGCTCTAAGATGAGTGAAGTTTTTAAGTATCAACATTAATTTAAACATCACTGCTGACTAATGTATGATATGCACTATTTATATGACACACTCAGAATGTATAGTTGTTACTTTGACAAAAATGTGCGTCTTAGAAATGATGAACTGCAGCTATGAATGCAGGCTGAAAGGTAGGCTTAAAAAGCAGTGTAAAAGGGGCTTCAGCCAGGGTGGAGACCTGGCAAACCAAGCTAGGAAGGAGATGGCATCACGCACCCTACCACAAGCCAGGATGTAGTGGTCACCCTCTCACCTGTGATGTGCAGCTGGTGCAGCCTGTGATAGGCCAGGGCCGCGTCCCGCGCACTGCTCTTAGCTTCATCCTCAAAGCCAGCTGCGGTGGCCGGGGTGGCTCGCCAGCGCTGGAAGACTTTCTTGAGCAACCAGCGCACCAGGCGCAGCTTCTGCAGGCTGTAGCGGATCACATTCCAGGAAAGGCTGCAGGCCAGGTCCAGGCGGGAAGTGGGCAGTGCCCGACCCAAAACTGACAGGCAGGTTTGCAGATTGGCTGCAGCAGCTGCAAAATCCCCCTATAAAGCAGCAAGAGGGTGTAAGGGTTACTGGCCTTGCTGTAGACTCCCAATCGATATCAGAACTAAGGAAAACATGGGAAACACTGGAAACCTAGGAGGACAAAAAAGATTACCTGTAAGCTTATCCCTTAGAATCACTGTGAACATTTGGAAGTTTTTCCCAGCCCTCTTGCTAAACTGGATCGCACTGTGCTCTATCTTTGAGCACATGCTGGTCAGAGTTCTCCACAGTCGCTTTTATAAGTAAGATGGCAATTTGGATTTCTGTTAACCACATGCTCCTACAGTCTTTTAGGTTCTAAAGTGTGGTCCGGAGGCCAGTAGCACCTGGCCCCAGAAGTTTGTTAGAAATGAAAATACTTGGGCCCCATCCCAGGCCTCTGGAAGCAACCTCGGGAGCCTGCTGATTCTGATGCCTGCTGAAGTTTGAGAGCCGCAGCTTTAGGCAAACTCACAGTTGAACTCCCAAACCTAGGAGCTGGCCAACCTAAGAGGGTCTAATGAAGCGTGTCTGGGGCTGCATTAACACTGCCAACCTTTTGCTCTCTCTTCTCTCACTCTCTTTGCCAAGAGAAGCACAGGAGGCAGGCTCTCCCCGCACTTTCTCTGCCTTTCCTGGGACACACGGCTGTTCCCAGGGTTAGTCTTGGCTCTCACCTTTTCCTCTTCAACTCTCCACAAGTGCCCTGGCCTGGCAGGCACGCAGCTCCCCAACGCTGGAAGGCTGGCCCTCCTCGGCCCCCAGGCTCACCTCTTGGTCACCGCTCCCTCCACAGACACTTCTCGCCACACCCCTAAGCAGCACGGCCTAGCAAGAGCCTCCAGCCTTCCAGCCCCCTCGTCTTTGAGCCACAGTCACCACTTTCTGTTTTACATCTCAGAGATTTCTTCAGTTCTGCCTTTCCTTTCCACCCCAACTTGCTGCCTTCTTCTCTCACCTGGCCTATTTCAAGAAGCTCCTCATTTGTTTCTGTGTATTTTATGTCACCCTCCTCTACCCACCCCTACCCTTCACACAACCAGCAGAACAAGTGTCACACTCACACCTGAACTGTTCTTGAGAGCAGGACCCCCCAATCATATCTGTACTTTAGACTTACAGCTTGGCCCTGGGTGACGGATCCAAGTGGCCATTCAGACTCTCAACTGAAGACCCTGCAATCTGCTGAGGGCAGAGCAGGCTCACGGCTTACTACTAAGGAATGTTCTGGTTTGCACGCTTCCTGAGATGTGTGTGCTTCTCTCTTCCTTACTGCTGTGATTACCACAGAACCCTTCCCGTGAAATACCCTTCCTGGTTTCAAATGAAAACTTTAAGCTAATTTTCCTGCTGAACAATCTTTGCTGATTCTCCAGAGAACTGGAAACAAAGCTCTCAATCAGTTACAAGCCAAAGCCCTGTCAGATTTGGGATTATCCACCCTACTGGCCTTTGCCCCATCTCTCTCTGACATACCCTGCACTTCAGACACACCCATCAAACTTGGATATCCCCAAGCAGCCTGTCCTCCCTGTCCCGGACACCTCCACTCACAACCCTGTGCTCTCGGCCAAACTCCTCCCTCTCTGCCCCAGACCCCCACAGCACTCCCTCCTTCCTGTCACATGCCGGACAGCAGATCATCTCATGCGCACGGCGTATCTATGTACGGTTGCCCTCTCTTCTGCTCCTTGCGACTATTCAGGCACAAGATTGCTTTTCCTCTCAGTCAAAACAACCTGCCACAGGACTTCACCCGCAGTGGGGACTCAACACCAGCCACTGAGCTCTTGGCTAAGCCCGGGTGAAGAGAGGGAAGGTGGATGACGGAACTCACCCTGGCAAGGTCCACGTCCGCTTGCTTCCGGTGCCGCCAGAAGGTGACCGAGGAGCGTGAGTGTGGCCGGATCACTGGTTCCCCGTGGACCAGCAGCTTCACAAAGACGCTCAAGACAATCACACCATTTACCAACCACAGGAGGAGCGTTGGCATCATCCAGTCAAACCAGCCCCCAGAACCTAAAGAGGGGCAGCGTTCCAGCTGAGCCTGACAGACCCCAGCAGTGTGACATCAAGGAGTCTTCTACCTCTTTTCCAGAAAGGGTGGAGAGTTCTTTTTTTGTCTTTTGGAGACAGGGTCTCGCTATGCAGTTCAGACTCGCCTTGTGCTCACTTTGTAGCCCAGGCTGGTCTCGAACTCACAACGATCCTCCTGCCTCAGCCTCCCGAGTGCTGGGATTACAGACGTGCATCACCACGCCCGGCTCAAGGATGGACAGTTCTACAACCTAGATACAAATCTTGCAGTGTTCAGCACCACAGGGACAAGTATTACAAAAATCCCAGCCAGAGAGGTTTATGACACTGGTTTCACAACTCAGGTGAAAAACACATCTGCCCTCGGCCAGGTACCAACCCCGAGTCCTCCACTCCCCCAACAGAGCAATTATAACGGTGTAGGTTCCTGCTTTGTTTTGTTCTTTCCAACTGAACTTGGATTTTACCTATTATTTCTAAAGTGTAACTTATGGGGCTGGGGATTTAGCTCAGCGGCAAAGCGCCTGCCTGGCAAGTGGAAGGTCGTGAGTTCGGTTCCCAGTACCAGAGAAAAACCAAAAAAAAAAATAAACAAATAAAGTGTAACTTATACCAGTCTCTGTCATAAGCAGTGGGGGGGTGGGGCGCTACTCCCCCGGGACCTGGTACCTTAACCACCTGGTTTGTACACTGGGTCCTTCTCCCAACAAAGCAGTTTACCAACACCCGAGTGGCACAAGGGGGACCCCACCTACCTGATTCAAATGACAGCACACTGCGGCTAGAGCCTGAGTACGGATGCTGGTCTGAGTCTTGGGCCCCTCCCCACTGCAGCAGGGTAGTCAGGGGGTTAAAGGAGAGGCCCAGGAAGGTGAGAACACACAGCAGAATCCGTGAACGGTCCACCATGCCCAGCGCTACAGGAGGAGAGTCCGGTTCATCTTTGACCTTCAAAATAGGGCCCCAGGGTTGGAATGAATGCTGCATGGGTTTTTGTATCATTTTGCTTTTATATATGAATCAGGAGACAGACTGTGAGGCTTAAAATTCAAGACAACTAAGCTAGACAAGGAACAAAGCCAGGGGGATCTAAGAAGTCCATAATCCACAAAGTGTTGCTCAAACACTGGACCATTCTCCCCTTGCCTTTGCAGAAAAGTACACGTGTTCCAAAGAATAAAGGCAGAGGGATTTTTTTTTAAAACAGACCTCTACCACAGAAGAGAACACACTGTATGATTCTGTTTCTATAGAATTCCAGAACAGGCCAAACAGATCTGGTGACAGGAAGTGGATGAATCAATAGGGGCCTGATACTGGAGGGAGTAGTATGAACCATCTACCAAGGTGTGGGAAAGAGCTTTTTGGGGTGATCGAAACACATTTGGATCATAGTGATAGCTGTACAAGGATGCATGTGTGTTAAAACCCCTGGCACTGTACATTTAAAATAGTGTATTTTGTTGCATTTAAGTTTTATCTCAACAAATATCAAAGACCATGCTTAGCATGAATCTATCTAAAGAAATCACCCGCTTTAAAAGCAGAGCAGTGCTTTTTTTTTCTCGTTCCTATTTTACAGAGGGAGAAATGAAGGCACAGGCCCTGATAGCCCAGGGAAGCCACAGGGTGCAGAGAGGAGGGCTGGAGTCAGGCTTCTCCTGGGCCCTCCCATGTACACAGCACTACACTCCTTTCCAGCACTGTAAAACCAGATGAATATGTATTCTGATGACTCAGAAGCCTCGTCAATTCAATTTCTATGTCATCTGGCCTACTGTTACCAAACAGAATCACATCTAGAAAATATTTAAATAATAGAGTTTCTTTAGTGAAACTAAGTCTCTGATGCAATAAACAGCATAGCCAAAAACATATACTGAATCAAACTCTGTTTTTGGAGTCAAAAACTGCCAGTGTCAGTATACAGTACAGGACCCAGTGGTCCCCATAGGCTGCCAGGGCAATCATTAGGCTCAGAGCCTCTTTTAACTAATTCTATTAAACTTCAATTGCCAGGGGCTTTTTTTGGACAATTAAAAGTCCTTGGTTGGAATGTTATCTGTTAGATTGCAGACTGTAGTCATTTCCAGAAAATAGACCCAGAGGCAGCCTCGTCTTTAAACCAACTGATCAGCCTCAAAGTGGTCTTGCCAGGCCCATTACAGGCTGAAAGAGGTAATGAGGCGCCTCCAGCAACTCCCAGAGCCCACTGCCTGACAGCTGCCACCCTGTCCCCATTCTAGGTTTGGCACTGGTTCTTCTCTGATGGGTCCCTTTAGCAAGGAACAGTTAAACCTGAGGGGCCGTGTCTCCCGCTTCAGAATCTGTTTTCTTTCCTACTCTGCAGGACCTAGCTAATTCTGCAGAATTTCCATTCCTCTCCAGATTAGGCCCTTTTAACACCTGGCCTGGCCACCTCTCTGTGGCCATCCCACTATTCTCTTAGGGGAGATGGACGAGATTCCAAGGGTCAGGAGATTTCAAACACCTGTACCTTTGCATCATCCAAAAGAGGACTTCCTGGCTCAGAGTCAATGGAGTAGGGGGAGAAGCCAGCCTGAGATCCCGAGTCAGAGGCTGGGGGGGACATCAAAAGGACATTCTGATTAAAGTCATCGATCTTCAGGTCCACATCACTGTCCACCAGACTGCCTAGGTCGATGCCCTTCAGGAGCTCTGGAAAGAAAATTGCAGCTGGATTAGGACTGGGCTGGGCTAGGCAGTGCTGGGGCGGGCCTCACACACATCCATGGGCCCTCCCTATGCCCGCTCCCTACAGATACTCCTTTCTCAGTGAGCACTTACTGTTTTTTTGATTTGCCAGCTTTAGCACCATGTTCTCCTGGCGCAGTTTATGATTAACCTGCTGCAAGTATTTGATGTAATCAATAGCCTTCCTTAGAACACCAGACTTGTGCATCTGGGAAAGAAGACAAGCAAAACACAGTGAAAACCAGTGCAAGCCAGAATGGAGAGAACCGAGCCCACAGTGTGTGGGTACAGAGCATGGCTGTGGGGTACAAGATGTCGGTTCAAATGCTAGCTACTGAGGACCAGATACTTCCTGCCTCTGAACCTCACTTTCTTTCTCCTTAACACAGGGATAAGGAAGGCAGGTGAATTCCAGCCTGGCAATGAGAGTTAAATACGACAGAACATATAAAGAGTTTAGCTCCAAGCCTGGCACATAATTTACACACAACAAAATTAGCTATTGTTTCTACTTCTTGTAATATAATCTGAGCATCAAAACAAACTTTAAAGAAATGACAAACACCATAGCACCAGTCTGGGGATGTGGCTCAGTGGTAGAGCACTTGCCTAGCATGCACAAGGGCCTGGATGTGATCCCCAGCACAACAAAAACAAAACCCAAACCAACTAACAACAACAAAACACCAGTGTATTGATGAAACATTATATATATACATATATATATATATATATTTATTTATTTAGAGACAGGGGCTCACTGTATAGTTCAGGCTGGTTTGAACTCACTATGTAGCGAAGGCTGGGCTTTAGCTCATGGTAATCCTGCCTCAACTTCTCAAGTGCTAGGAGTATAGGTGTGTGCCACAGCGCCCACCTTTATTTTTGGTGATGAAAGTTTTCCTAAGTAACACTATATACTTAAGATATATTTGTAAGCTATAAGGAAAATCAAACTTTCTATCACAGTAAGGGTGAAGGTAAACAGATAATAGTTAAAAAAATATATCTGCCAAGAAGTATATTCATCTAAACACTAGAAATATGTGAAAAGTCAATTTCTCTTGTTTGCTATTGCTCATAGACTCAATCTCACTTTCTTTCTCTTCTCTAAAAGATAAAATATTGCCAGCTACCACTAACCACGGCTAAAAGCAAGCCAGTGACACTGTCAGCTGCCCAAGATGCAGCCAGTCTCATACACTGGGATCCCTAGCCCCAGCAGAACAGTCAAAGGTCCCAGCAGGTCACTGTTTTACCAATCCCCACCAAGTTGTTAGTTAATACTTTGTGTTAATATTTTATAATCTTGACAAATACCAATATATTTTAACAGGAAGGCCATCTCTTGCTCATTGCTGTGTTGGCTCAGCTTAACCTTGGGATCTCCCTGATTCCCATGGCAAAGACAAGTAGAGGGACTACGGCAGGGCATGAAATACCACTTCACTTGGCACCTACCTTAGCATCTGTCCCCATGACCAGGTCCTTCAACTCGATGATTTTGTCATTGATGGAGGAGCGATATCGCTTCTCAATGATATTGTGTGTTGTCCGCCTTTCTCCTTCTTTGGGGGGCTCGAGCTGCTTGACCCCCCCAGGTACCTGCTTAATGGGTACCTTCTCTTGACCCATCATCACAGGCATGGTAGTCAGAATGGTGCCACTGCTGCCCACCAGGGTCTAGAACAGGGGCAGAATTGCACCTTTGTTAGCTGAGTCAAGCAATGTCACACCACGAAGTTGCTTGCTCCTGGTGGTGTGGCATTACCTCGCAATGCTATGTGGTCTGGGACCCTCCTGGGATAATTAGCTAAGGCCTCCAAAGGCCCCAGGAACTATGGCATCTCAGTTACTACCTCTCTTTTAGAATCACTGTTGAGGAATCGTATGATTAGAGGATTAATATAGTTAAATACGTCTTAACTTTTGATCTGGGGTGTCAGAAACATGAGAGTTTTGCTTCGCTGTCAAACTGTTAAAGGCCTCTGAACCCACACACGGTGAAGCAAATTATTTGGCACCTGAGAAAACCTCCTGGTATGAGACATATTTTTCCCTCTCAAATGACAAATAAGTAAATTACTGCATTTCTTCCTACAATTTGCTCATCAAAGAGCTCCAGGGCAGAACTGACACTCTAAATCAGAGCCATTTTATTAAATAAATAGGCCAACCATGGAGGCTTTCCCCTTCTATTCCCATCTCTGGTTCCCCTTTTAGTTTCCATGTTTACTAATGAGTTCAACATCCAAACGGCCAATAAACAAAAAGCTGCTCAACTTCTTTAGTCATCAAGAAATAACTCACATATAATAAAAGCCGTAAGTTTGAACTTTAGGCCTTGATGAGGTTTGGCCTCTGTATACAATATGCACAGCCACACAGGCTAAGAAACGCTCTCCTTTTAGAAGGTTCCCCCCATCATGGTTCTGATTCTGTCACCACAGCTAACTTCTGACTTTTCAAAATTTTGAGATGGGGGTCTCACAGCATCTCTAAGTTGTTCGGGTATTGCCTGAACATGCAATCCTCCTGCTTCAGCCTCCCAGAGTGCTGAGATTATAGGTGGGGAACACCATACCTGGCCTGTTCTTAAACTTCACACTGCTACAATCATCAGGGTGAACTCTTCTATTTTTGAGGTGCAGCTGTGTTTTAGGCAAGTCTTTTATCTTACCCCTGGGCACACTTTCCTTTCACTGTATGAATATCTCATAAGTTTTTTATCTATTCTGTGGATGGACATTTTGGTTGTTACCAGTTCTTGCCTTTTATGAATAAAGAGAATGCTTCTGAATTTTATCACCTTTTTTTTTAACATCAGACTCCTGTTACAGGATGCTTAAAGAGGTTGTGACTCCACAACAAAAGGACGACTACCTTCCCCATCTCTCTTGGTGCCCTTCTCTGCTGGGTGGTCCCAAGGTCCTTCAGAAGCCATACCTCAGTAGCAGGACATGAAGTGATGCCCCTACGTGTCTGGAGCTATTGCCCAGGAACACAGGTTCCTCGGTTGTGTGTCCAGTGCCTGTAGCTCCCAGGACTCCCATCTAACACTGGAGGGCTTCTTCAAGGAAGAACAACTAAGAATGGGGCAATCCGACCAGAATATTCCTTAGAGCTTCCAGCACCTACTCGGCAGACAGACTTGAACATGTCTGAAGACTAACACCCCCAAGAAAGGAGATGGAGGGAACGAGGGTGGGGAAGCAGGCAGTGCTTACTGGTACTTGAAGGGCCGCCGTCTGGATGGGGGTGGTGAGGGCAGTGAGGGCTGGGTTCTGGACTGCAGCCATGACAGGGCTGCCATCTGTCTTCAGTGTGGTCAAAACAAGGGAATCTGTCTTGATGATCTGGGGCTGGACCAGGACCTGGATGAAGAAAAATGAAAAGGAAAAGGAAGGGAAGATTATTTTTCTTATTTTGCATTTGTTTATTACAGTAAGAAAATATCATTTTCATGAAACTGAGAAAACAGACCATGAAATTTCACAGAAGCCTTATCAAAGCTGGCTGTTCTGTACAGCCTGAACACTGGGTAGGAGAGACAAAGGAGAGACAAAGGACAGCTAGAGAGGGTTCTGAGTCCGAAGGCTTCACGCTTCAAGGAGGGCAGTGCTAGCTGTCTGGCCGGAACAGAGGGGGGATGAGTGGTAGGAGATAGCTGAGGAAGAGAAGTTTGACTTTGGACAGACTCAGGAAGGCTAGGAATGTGGCTGAGAAGCAAAAAGTAATAAACCTGTTTGTTTTTTTTTAAATAAATTATAGCCAGGCCGGTGGTACACACCTATAATCCCAGCACTGTGGGAGGCTGAGGCAAGAGGATCACAAATTTGAACCTAGCCCGGGTAACTAAGTATCTTAACATGACCCTTAACAAGCAAAGAAAGGGCTAGGGATACAGCTTGGTGCAAAGGCCCTGGGTTCAATCCCCAGTGCTGGGGGAGGAATATGCATATTACTTTGTTAGTAAGAAAATAAAAACATGTTTTTCTGACTATAAAAATAATATAAGCTCCTTCCTAAAAAAGTAATAATGCTTAGCATTCACTGTAGAAAATAGGGAAAACAAAAAATTACAAAGACGAAAATCATTTGAGAGCTAGAATTTGGCACATTTCTTTCCAGTTGTATAGTCATTATGTGTCAGTGATCACTACCCCAGCTCTTCCTAGGAATGTGTGAGTACAGTCCAAGATCCTGCATGTGCTTGTGGGCACCCAGGACCTGGACGCCCCAGCAGCCCTATAAGATGCACCATGCACTCGCTGGTTTGTGCTTCTTAGTATGCAGAACATAGCTTTAACCAATGACAGCCCCAACCAGTACCTCCCTGAATCCGTTCCAGCCACATACCGGGACCTGCTGCACCTGGGGTGCGGCAACTGTCTGCACAGTGGCCGGGGCAAGGGTCTGCAGTGTGCCGTTGGCCGTTTGTGTCAGCACCCGCTGGGCCTGTACCGTCTGCACCTGCTGCTGGATGGTGACTGGCTGCACCTGGGAGGATGTCACCAGGCTTTGGACTTGAGGCTGAAGGACTTTGGGCAAGAGGAGAAAGAAGTCACATGGATGAGGAATGCAGACTGTCACAGTAGCTGCAGCAATAACCCGAGGATGGAACGGCTCATAAAGATTCCCACTCCCCACCTGCTGCTGAAAAGATGTGCGCAGCCATTTACAAGCTGGTTTAGAGAGCAAGAATGTCCCATAAGGGCTACATCAATTTCTGAGGGAACAAGTGCACATCGTTTTATTACTATGGGTGCTGGGTTGGAGGTAAGGGAAGCTAATCGGCAAATGACTGCACCCAGCAACAAAGTTAATAGATGTTGAGAATCAGTAACTCCCCAGGCCTTTATTTCTTCCCATCCTTTCTACATGGAAAATGTGCAATGTTTTGCCTTTCTCTCCCTGCTCCTCCTTGAAATGATCAAGAGTCTTTAAATTCGGAGCAATACTCATCCTGCCCAGGGCTCCCCACAGTCACTGGAATGAAGTACATCACAGAAAGATGAGCACTTCAGTCACTCAACACACACTGGAGGCCCACTATGAGGCCCGGCACTCAGACACAGCACCCTTTTTTTTGATGGTGATGGTACTGAGGATTCAGTCAAAGCCCTTGCACACGGTAGACAAGTTTTCTACCACTGAGCTATGTACATCCCCCAGCATTTTTTATTTTGAGACAGGGTCTTAGTAAATTGCCCAGCCTATCTTCAAACTTAGAATCCTCCTGTCTCAGCTTTCCAAGTAGCTGGGATTGCAGCATGTCCTACACACTTAGCTTGTAGCACCTACTTTTTTTTTTTTTGGTCTTTTTGAGACAGGGTCTCACTATGCAGTTCAGGCTGGCCTTGAGCTCACTTTGTAGCCTAGGCTGGTCTCGAACTCACAAACATCCTCCTGCCTCAGCCTCCCTCGTGCTGGGACTACAAGCATGCGCCACCATACCTGGTGCAGCATCTATTTTAAAAGCTGTACTCATCTGCACAATGTTTGCTCAGGAGCTGTTTGCTGAATGAATGGTCCTCACCTGTGGGCACCTGATCCTGGTACTACTTAGCCAAGTTTTAGACCTAATTTTATTTAAGACTGTGACTAATTTTACTTAAGATTGCACCTGTAGTTACAGGATGCTCCTGTGTCTATAATGCTGGTTGGACTCTGATTAAGTACCCTTGAAGTAGGCCCAACAGCTATTAAGGTCTTAGAGCAAACAGAACATGAAGCAACCCTGTACCCGCTTGTCCTACCAGAGACCAGAAACTCGTCCAGACAGGACGAAAGTGACACACTCTGTCATCCTCGAAGAGGACCAAACAACCCACAGTGGCTGCAAGCAGGCACACAACTCTGGAACCAAACAATAGTTGCACATGTGACTTGTGAATCACCTTGAAAGCTGGTGGCTGCATTCTGATATATCAGAGGCTGCTGGATGATCCGTGTCTGAGGCGCGGTACTGAATGTTGGGGTGATCATTACTGTCTGCTGCTGCAGCTGGGCTGGAGGCTGAGGCTGGGGCTGGGGCCGAGGCTGGAGGACAGGCGTTGCCCTTGGTGGGGTAGGAACTGTGGTAGGAGCAACTTTGACTTGCAGGGCTGGAGCCTGAGGGGAGGCAGCTGGTGGAGAGAAGGACGATAACGGAACTTGGCTAAAGGACCGCTGCATTGAGGGCTCCATGGCCCCACCACTGCTGCCCCTGCCATTGCTGCCGCTGCCGTTGCCGCTGCCGCTGCCGCCTCCTCCACCACTGCCACTGCCACCTCCGCCAGGGAAGGAGCCACACAGCTGCTCTGAAAACAAGTCAGGGAACTCTCCCACTTGATTGCTGACAAACTGCAGCATTTCTGTGAACAAAGGAAAAGGAGTAATTTTACTGCCACACGGTATATTAACTTTCAAATCTGCTTAACAAACTGAGGTATATGGACCAGAGGTATAGCTCCCTGGTAAAGCACTTGCCTAGCGTATGCAAGGCCCTCGATTCCAGAGAGAGAGAAAGAGAATACAAACAACTGAGGCATGAAAACCCAATGGCTTTTCTAAAACCATGGCTGAAAGGGGTCAGGAGACACCAAGGCAGAAGTGGGCAGTCACTGTCCTGGGGTTTTGGGGCACACCAGCCTTAGCCTAGGAGGCCACTTCCAATCTTGAAGACAGCACTGGAGCCATGTGGGTCTGCTGTACTGGGCCAGACCCCACCTGGCCCTAACCCCTCTCCTTACCACTGGGCAAGCTCTGGGTCTCCTCTTCAACCATGGCACAACCCTGGGGACTACTGGTGTCCTCAAAAGCCCCCAGGGACAACCAAGTTGATGGTCCCCAAGTCAAAGATTTTTAGGGGTAGAAAGGAGGGAAAGATCGTTTATGAAGTCCAAAAGAGAAGTAACTTGACCAAGGTTTCACAGCTTGTGAGGACACTGCCAGGATGAGAGCCAGTTCTCTGCTGCCCACTCTGCTCCCCATTCGCCGTAGTCGAGCTGTATCAGGAGGGCAGGACAGAGCACCCTGCCCCTGTGCAGGACTCTATCGCCTCGGGGCTGCGCTGGCCAGAACGCTTCTCTTTGCGGGAGGCGTCTGCAGGGTGGAGGGGCTGTGTCTGCCTGGAGACTGTACTCCCCCTCCAGATTGCCAGCCCCTCAATTCTCAGCCTGAGGCCTCACGCCTGCCTCTTCCCTCCTCCCCAAGGCGCGTGTGTCTCACCCCAGCCTACTCCACAGCTAACAATTCACGTCCTAGGCCTCCTTCCTTTTCTTTTATTCTGGCTGACCCCGGGGTCTCGGCTTTGTTCTACTTATTTTCAGATCTGTAACTGCCCACTGTCGCTATTCCTCCCCCTTTTCTCACTCTAACACATTCCCAAGAAGCTATGACTTGTTCTTATCTTATTTTTATTAGTTTCTTTTTATTTGCATATATTTGGGGTTTTGTTTGTTTGTTTGTTTGTTTCCGGTACCGGGAATCAAACTCACAACGTTGCGCTTGCCAGGCAGGCACTGTGCCGCTGAGCTAAATCCCCAGCCCTATTATTAGCATATATTTGTGACTTGTAATAATTACACTAATCTTGGGGAAATGGTACGTATACATGCTGACATCTTAATCATTGTTACTTCCCCTTCTGTCTCCCCTGACCCAGGTCCCCTTCCTATTTCTCTACAAAACAACCCACCCATTTCCTATCATTTATTTTTTACTTTGCTTTTTATTTGTACTTTGGGTTTCTCAAGTAAGAGGAACCATGTGATAGCTAACCTTCCTGGTGTGATTTATTTCACTTAAGCATTACAGTCTTAATGTACATTCATTTTCCTACAAATGACTCAAAATTGTCCTTTATGGCTGAGTAGTATTCTACTGTGTATGTACACATACGCACACAACACACATTTTCTTTATCCATTTATCTGTTGATGGACTTATAGGCCACCTCCAAGATTTAGCTAGTAAGAGTTGTGCTGCCATAAATATGGGCACGCATGTATCGTTAAAGACATCATATGATGTCTTTCATTCTTTCAGGAAGATGCCTAGAAGACGTACAGGTCAGATGGAATTTCTGTTTGCTACTGTTGTTCTTAAGCTATGGTCCCCTTTCTCCAAACTTAAGGACACAGGATGTAACAACACAAACCGATCAACACAAAAAAGCACTACTTCCACTCATTTCCCAAACCTGCAACAGCTCTTCCTTCTCAGGTTTCTCATACTGTGGGACAAAAGCAGAGAGAGACAGAGAGAGAGGGAGAGAGGAAAGGAGGGAGGCAGGCAGAGAGTGCAGAGGAGGTATCTGGGGTAATGAAGAGTTATATGTTGGGCAAGCAGAACGCTGCTGCGAGTTTCGAGCATGGCCTCCATATGGGCTAACTGGAGCTTAGCAATTCAATTTCAGCACCGTAAGCACTGTCAGTTCAACCTGCTGGGCAAACCAGGCTTTCAGCAGACTAAATCCCTACAGTGGTGCACCTTACCCGTACCTTGACCCACTGCTCTGCCCTCACTTAACCTGTTGTGTATGGGAGGGAGAAGTGGGCAGATTTACAGATACTGCAATTTGTACCAATCAGGTCCAATTCCAGATTATTAAAAGCTTTAGGAAAACGACCAGGGAAAACCTTACAAGTTTTCAATCCTTCTAGAACTCCCATACAATTCCAACTCTGGAACATGAACATTGACAATCAACTCTGCTTTCTTAGAGGCCCTCAGTGACGCCTGTTTTCTCCATGGAAAGGTGGGAGAGCTGAAAATGGGGCAGCCTGGGTGTGAGTCTCAGGAGGCAGCCCAAGCAGCTGTGTGAATGTGCGCAAGTTCCTTCTCCCTATACCTCCGTTTCCCCACCTTGGAAGGCTGTCTGGAGAACACACACTGGGCTTCTCTGCTCTGAGGATTACTAAGATCATGTACGTAAAGTGCTTGGTGAGGAGCAGGCCTTCATGAAGCTCCCCGTCAGTGGTACATCCAGAGCACCCACTACACAGGCACTTGGACCTGCTTGTTTCATCGCATCAAGTACTCTCAAAACCCTTCTGTGGGGGAAGACACGGGCCTGTGTGCAAAGGTCACAAGGCTCAGCTCACAAAGCAGGGTAAGAGTGCGTAGGCTGATGGAATGTGACTGCTTTAATTTGAAAGAAAAAAAAGCCTCTCAGCCCCCACACAGAAAGCTCCAGTGGAGCCATCTCCAGTCAGCCAGGCAGCTGGGCCTGGTTGAGTGGCACAGAGGGGCCTGTTAAAAGGAGCATCTGCAGGAAAAGCAACGTGAGGCTGTGGAGGCTCTGTTCCAGCAGGGCAGGGTGCAGCGGGCAGAGCCCTTTGGGAACCCATCAGGCCTGCAGTGCCAGAGGACAGGAGGCCTGGAACACTGAGGAGCCGGACCCAGGAGTGGCCTCACTGTAATTCTGAGCTCCACCCTGTGGGAGCATCCTAATGTCTCTTCACTGCGCTGTGCTCCGATCATTTGTGTTGTGCGATTACACAGGCTCTGAATTCAGCAGAGGGCCATGAAACCCAGAAAAGGGAGGCCTGGGAGAAGGTTTATGGAGCTTTGAAAATGAAATTCGGGTTCTTGCTGCAGCCCACAGAGCCCAGGGCCAGATAGACTTCCTAGGAACTGGGCCAACATGCTCAAGTTCACCTCATTTCCCCTTCAAGTCACATTTCTGTTTTTAGCTGATTTTTAAACTTCTGTCTAAGTTGCTTAATAAAGTATGCAGGACCCCAAGAAATTTACCTGGGTTCTGTCTCTTTAAAAGCAAGCAACCAAAATTAGAGACTCTGCTTGTCATCCATGCCCTGTGCCTCATGCAGAGATCCTAAGTTCACAAGTGCTTGATGAAGCGTGTGACTTACAGGTAACAGAAATCACTTTGTGCAGCAGTCTTGCAGCAGCTATAGAGATTAAGATGACCTGAAATCTGGTTGGATTAATTTTGCTGAGGAATAAAGAGCCCAAAGCTCCCAGATGGGGTAACCATTTCTCCAAACTGCACGGTGAGTCAGTAATTCTTAGTAGGTATTTGTTATCTACTTTAGCTAGCCTTGGTGGTAGCAGTGGTGATAGTGGTGTGGGGGGGGGGGGCGGTTTACAAAGATCCTTTATTCTGTATTTTGTATTTATTATGTGGCTTTCTGTTACACAACTATGTTTTCAATTTTTTAAAATTATAAAACCAATAAATTAGAATAGTTTAGAAAAGTTAAATGAGAACAAAAATAAAGATCTAGCAATGCCACCATCCTGTGATACCCACTGTCAATGTTTTGAAGTGTTCTTTCAGAACTGCTCCTATCCAACTCTTGCTTGCACACACGTACATGCAAAATGGTTTTCAAAGATGGCTCCCACTTACCATGCTAAATGTACGCTGCTGCTTGCTTAATAAAACATGAGGAGAGTCCAGTGTTCACCATTAAGAATGTAGTATCTTTTGAAGAGCCCCATGGTAATGAACTGTATTGGGTGCACTAGAATTTATTTAACCTCAGTGATGATGGATGGTTGCTTTCAATTTCTCAGCATTATTGAGTCATTTTCCATTTCTCTGGTTATCTTTTTAGAAGGAATCCCTGAAGTTTGATGACTGATATAGGAGAGAGACACGTGTTTTGGGAAGGCCATAACAGGCTATGTCCCCACCACTGTCTCCTCACATCTATTTCCACCTGATAGTGGATAAAACCTGGCACAACCAATTACCAAATAAGGCTGAATGACTTACTTTTATTCCAATTTTATTGACCATCCATATTTCTTTCTTCACAAATTGCCTATTCTTGATCTCTCTTATTCTATTGATTGTCTCTTTACTGATTTGAAAAAACTTTTAGATATTACAGATACTTGCTCTTATATGTTTGTAATTATTTTATCCACTTTGTTATTGCAATTAAGTGTCACCATGTCCTAGCCTTATGACCTGGGTCAAGTCCTTCCTCCCTGAGCTGCATTTTTCTCATCTGTAAAACAAGGCTAACACGTATAGCTAACTCATGAAGCTGTTAATATACAATTCATGTAGAATCTAAAGCAGGGCAATTGGCCTTTGTATTTACTAGTATATTCATAGTGGCTTTTTTTTAAACTCTTGCTTTGAAAATGCAAATTTGTCTCAGTATATCAGACACATCAGAACAAGTTGAATATAACATGAATTTTACATTTGTTTTTGCATGAAACACTAATTACAGAAACCTACTCCCAGCTGAAATAAGCCATGTAGGAATGCACAAAATGCACATGTGCACACACACACACACCCCTCTCAGATATCTACATGTTTTATCTGGCTACTGCCTGTGTTATGATCCACACCCATTTTACAGAGGTGTCAGAACCTTTTATCAGA